ATCGTGTGAACTCAATCGATAGCTTTCGTAGCCTTGTGTAGGTGTGTATTCCCAACAAACATTTAGGTTTGAGCCCAACTTGAGGTTAAGTTGAGAACTAAGGCATTTCTCAAATCTCCAACGTTGTTTCTCAACAGTTACTCAAGTGGAGGATCATAGCGTTCTCAACAAGAAGGGCATTTTTCTTTGTATGGAAAAAGGACTGTTTCTCAAGTTGAGAAAATGCTAGTTCTTAGAGCTGGGATACTACCGATGTCGGTTTTAGCAAGATTTCACAATGTCTCTTCTTTACATCTCTACACATTTCATTAAATATTTTTATGCAAGAGAATTCACAACATAGTCGGCAAAAAAAAAATTAAATTATTGGGATATTGAGCAACTATAAGCTTACACTGAGTTATAGTAAAATTGAATTAGCTATAAAACTGCTTACACAAAATTTGTATAGAAATTCGAATTAAAAAGCTTGAATTTTTAATTATTTTATTGTTTTTTATGTTTTCTACAACTTTTATAAAAAATTAATAGACACTAAATAAACAAAAAAATAGTCAAAAGTGCTAAAAAAATGTTGTGCTTTCATTTTGAGCAGTACTATATTCGTTTTCTTATAATATGGTAAAATGTTAATAATTTCCCTTATCCGGATTTTGATATGAGCCTCCGTATTTGATCTCAGTTGAACTTTTATAAGTATGAGTTGTCAATTTTAACGAATATCTTTTATTTCGTTTGTTTTGTAGTATTATAAATGTATTTTTATAGCCAATTTCATTTCTTTGCACTTCAAAAGGGACAAACTAAATCCTAATTTATTTTTGCCACATAAAAAATAAATTCAGATTTTGCCTGTCGATATTCAAGGGGTTGCAAGTGTATGTATATAAGTTATATAATTCAGCCGCATAAATTAATAAGTTTGATTTATTATTATAAGAAGTTCTTTTTGAGGCACTCAAATTAAAAAAAAAATATACAATCTCTTTAATTTACAAAGTAATTTATAAATTTTATAAATTTATTAATTATTTAATTTTCAAGCAATTGAGCGTTTCAATTCAATACCTTTCACGACGATCGTTTCGAAAACTATCGAGTGGCGGTACTATCGATAGTATCCCAGCTCTACTAGTTCTCAACTTAAACTCCAATGTAATTACCCAATTGGTCTCAAACATATCATTAAAATACTGAAATTGAAATAGTAAAATACCGTATACCTTTTTGATTGAAACGACATACATAGATGAATGTGAATATTAATTTTCCATGAGTATTACTCCTTTTGTATTATGTAGTTCAGGCTTTCCTAAAGTGGGTGCCGCTAGTGGCTAGGGTATACTAGTGGTGCGGGCAAATTCTTAAAACCTCCCTACCACAACACAAATGGCTTGCAGCAAAGGGATATTTCGCTTGGTTTTTCAAGCCGCTTGGTAGTGTATTTCGCTCTTAGGCGTAGTTCCCCAGTACGTTTTGTCAACGGAAAATTAAATCTGAAAATTTTCAGAAAAATAGCCGAAAACGTACCCTTTTCCATCCGTTTTCGGTACTTTTGTAGACCTAATCCGCGTTTCATCCACTTTTCTTTCCGTTTTCGGATTAATTTTCGGATTTTTTGCTTGCTGGGCTGTTTTCGTAACAAGCGCAGCAGCTTCACGCACGTGTATATGTTACTTAGTCTTTGGAACTTCACAATCATACTGTGAAAGGGCGAATCAACACGATTTTAGAGGCAGTCGAAAAACGAACTTATAAATAAATTGAAAACATGTTAATTTTTTAGTTTGCAACTTGAAGTACCGACGTAGTGGGACTTAATGTTCTTCTCGTGTTAGTGAAGTACCCATTCGTAATGCAGATCGCAGAAGAACTTTTGATGAGCGAAGTGCTTGAGACCTACACCACTAGCGACGAAATTTTTAAAGCTATAGACAAATTTGTATAGAAAAATGGTTTGAAATGGAGCAAGTGTGCGGATATTTGCAGTGATGTCTAGGATGAAGCAAGAGGCAGGAAACGCCACGAGAAGTCACTGTATGATCCCTCGGTATACCCTGGCGACTAGGAAGATGCCGCCTAGGAAGAGGCCTGCGAAACTAAAATACATCTTTGGATTTCTTTCTAGCACGTCGAGCTTTGTCTTATTGGTGACATGTATATTCTAGAAAGTCTAGCAATTTGGATGAAAACTCCTTAAATAAACAAAGTAAATCAGAAAAACGTATGTAACTTCGAAGATAACGTTAAGAAAATTGATAAAAGTTATTTTCTTAGTGTTAACGCGCATTACCAGTGTTAACTTGGAAGGTTTAGAAAAAAAAACCATTGTCGAATATTTTCCTAACATTGCCTCTGAGGATGTCTACAGCTTGCTTTCACTAGCGGTGAAGTTCAGGTGGCCATCAGGCAGGCGAAAGCCTCCAAAACCATGGGCCCGGACGGAATATGCATGTACACATACTTTTTTTGGCCACATAAATTTAAAACTGCCCCTAGCCCTTTTTTTAGCCCTTTGGAGGATTTCTTTATACTTGTCATGAAAAAGTTGTATATGCTTAATTTGATCTAATTTTTTCAATTAAGTAAGAGATGAGTTTTTAACCAAAGAAAGGCTGATATATATACATATATGTATTGTATGTTCCTTACGTTTTTATATATACATCCTGTAAAAAAATTTAGTTACCATTTTTAGCCACAATGACTTTTTTTAGCTCTTTTTTTTTAAAGGAATTTGGCTACCACTAAAAATGATTCGCGGCAACACTGTTGTGGATGTCAATTTCTCGTTCAACGAGCGACTGTGAAAATTTTTTTTTATCGCTAATCCTTATACAACTCTTTGTTTGTAGAAGGATGAGCGACTATAAACTATTCACACGCACTTATTGAACGAGAAAACGATTTTGTAAATACCACAGATAATCGACTAATACGGCTTTCCCGCGGCACCCCAATTACGTAGTTCGCTCTCTCATTCGTAATTCACTATACAAAATTTTGAGAGCGAATTACTTCATTTGTTGGTAATTCAGATCACAGTATACCAGTAGAAAAGGTTTTTGTTATTGTGGCTGTTAATTTGGTCCCCATAAAGGGCTTGAGAGTTGCCAGCAACTGTTTTGCCGCATTCAGGGTGCTGTGCAGCAAAATAATGTAAACAATTTTAACATCGGATAAATGGCGAGAGAAATATTGTTGTGCGCTTTATAAGCAAATATGACCGTAATAAAATGTTTTATACGTCAATATAACTAATTAGCGCTATTTTTGCAATTCGAAATGATGTTAAAATTATTTGTAGTGAAATATGTACTTTATGAGTTAAATGGAAATGATGTAAAATGTTTTATATATGGATCTAGTTTTAATAATAATATCTAGTACTTTCGTCTACATTGCTTTTATTGTAAGTTTTCACGAGTAGTTGCAGTTTTCTGCAATTGTCTCTGGTGGACTATACATGCTAAAGCTAAATAATTTCACAATTTCTACCCTACTAAACGTTTATATTTTAATAAAATGTGTTCAATTGCTTAAGAATATATAATTTCCGATCAAATTATAACACTGAGGGCCGGTTGTTCAATGTCTGGTTATCACTACTTGCCGGTTAAACATCATTATCGACGTTTTTGACACCATGCTTATAACATGTGATCGATAAAGCAGTCGTTGTATTTAACCGGAGCTTCTACCTCTGATTTGTGCAAATCAGACATTGAACAACCGGCCCTGAATGCTTGAGAAACAATTTTTTAAATCAAATGATCAATAGTGAACGCACTCGGAGCGAATTTCGGAACACTGAGCGAATTATGCATATTAACACTAAATAATTTCTAACTTTCTACCGTATTATACGTTTATATTTCAATTTAATATGATTAATTACTGAATAATATATAAACTCCGATCAAACTTCACTACTGAATGCTTGACAAACAATATTTTTTATCAAAAAATCAATAGTGAACGCACTCGGAGCGAATTTTGGAACACGATATAAAATATGCATGTTAAGACTAAGTAATTTCTCATAAGCTTATGTTTTAATATAATATAATTCATTACTGAAGAATATATTAACTCTGATCAAACTATAGTATTAATTCTTTGACAAACTATTTAAATCAAATGATCAACAGGTGGCGCGCTCGGAGCGAATTTTGGTACACTTCATAAAATATTTACAGAGGGAGTACATTATTTGGTAGAGGTCAAAATGTATTTAACAAAGTGTGATTGAATTTGACATTGCTCTCAGAAGAACCATCCTATAAAGTCAAACTGAAAAAAATTTGTATGAATTTTGAATCGTTTCTTTATATATTTTTACATTTTTACATAATAGTATCTTAAAAGAGAGCCACACTGAGTTGTCAATAACACCTTGGGCCGTATGCATAAAAACTAAGCAATTACTTTTTCTCAGATTTTCATACCTTTCACTTAAATTTATTTGAAAAAATTGAGTGAGAGGTCGGAAATTTTAAGAAAAAGCATTTGCTTAGGTTTTATGCATACGGCTCCTTGTTTAATACACCCATGATACAAATATTTAAAGGTAAACCCGCTTGCACAATTCGTCGGCCATCATTTACTTTTTGAAGTTTGTCTATTTTATAAAATTGAAATTTTGAGAGCAACTCAAATGCCAAATAAAGGTAAAACAAAAAACAAATAGATGAAAATATTGAAATTTTCATTTATTTGAGACTGATAATGTGAATGTATTTGTGAGATTGAAAATTTGAAAACATTTTTGTAATGTTACCAAACTTTAAAAATGTTCAGGCTGCCTTTCAACGGTTTTATCTTCAGATTTTTGTATCATGAGTACACCTTAATCGAGATATCACGAACAAGTTTTCCTTTATTTGCTTAACGATTTAAAAAAAGGGAGGACAGTCGGATCTACGTAACCAGAACGACCTGCATGCGCATTGAAATCGGTTGTATTTTTTGCTAAGAACTATTTGTTATTATTGAGATAGGACTTACTGTGGGTGCTTTAAGATTCATTTTGTAAACATGTATGCACTTATAAAAAACAATTGCGATATTTTATTTTAAATTATGAATTTTATTCGTGCAATTTTTTATGTTTAATAGTTTTGAGGACATTTTTTGGTTCTGTTGATTCTTTTATTGCATGCCTTAAACTTTTTTACTTTAAGTTATAATGTTGAAGATATGCCTTCTGCCTTTGTCAAGCACTTTAGCTAGGTGCGAGAAATTTAGCATATGCGCGTAAGAGCAAGGAGTAGGTATACGGCTGTGCTGCCGCGATTCTCCAACATCTTGTCAAAGGAGAAAACATATTGGTGGCGGAATCCATCGTAGTCCAATTTTTCTTAAAATCGACGAAAAAGCGATCACTGATTCTGAACTGCTATGAACGTGTGTATTCAAAGCAAGCGCCGCGTTCGTAGCTATTCGACCTTAATAGCATTTTCGTAGATTTCTCGAAAAATCGGACTACGATGGATTCTATTATAGCCTTGATTAGTTCGTGCGATTATGACTTATGGATCGATTATGGATGGGAACGGAACCTCAGTTGGGTTGCCGATGGACAGCGCCACTGAAATGAAAATGTTTTTTATTATGAATAGCAATAATTAAGTTTCATAAAGTTCAAGGTGGTACAATTTAAAAAAAAGTTGAAAAAAGAAATAAAGTATCTCAATCAAAAATTCCCGGCAGCCACAAAAACGCACTTGCCAATATAGCAACTTAGTTGCCAGCTTTCAGTTGCTAGTTGCCATCGGTAATACCATTTCAGCCACTGGCCAACCAACTGAAGTTCGGTTGTCCTCCGTAATCGACCCATAAAATCGGAATCGAATAGGCATGCACGTTCTGCTGAACAATAAATATTTTTTAAATGTGTGCTTTGTCCGCTAACGAATTCCAGCCATGTGTGAAATATCGTATGTGAAGCCTCCGTCTGACTTAACGATTGTCAAAGGCATGCCAGAAGATGTTTCATCATATGTTTTCGGCCATCGTCTTCTTCGAGTAAGTTCATCGATACCAAAAACTTTACAACCTATATTTGCCAGCAGCCCTTAGTGTTTTTGCCAATGACATGGTACTATTGCACTGTTAATAACCAAATTAAGCCGCAGTTGTATTCACACGTGATATAATAGCTAGTGTCGGCAAGCTGTGGGAATGCCCAGGAGATGGCGTTTGTTCAGCTATCGAAATCATTACACCGACGGCGGTGGGCAGCTCTCCTGGAACATATTTACCACAGCAGTAGTTGCGGCGTTTTGTTCTGCAATNTCATTACACCGACGGCGGTGGGCAGTTCTGCTGGAACATATTTACCACAGCAGTGGTTGCGGCGTTTTGTTCTGCAACAATAGCCTGCAATGATGACATGTCATATAATGTCGACGAACAAAGATATAAAATTTAAAATGACTAACCTTATTCCCAGCCGATTTGGGAGACCACCCTTGGTCACGACCAGAACGCATTTACCAAGAGGAATAACCGCAGAGATTGCAGTAGTTCTTGCAATCACCGTTGATGATGCTGTGCTTGTAATGAATAGTCTGATTACAAAAAAATGCATTAATGAAATCTTATACACATCAAATAAATAAATTTCAATAATTTTTTTACCATTTCACAAACCGAATTACCAAGAAATGGAAACTCACCGCGGTGCGATACAGAAATAAAAACCGACAGGGCTGCATTTTCTTGGTAAACAACACAAGCGCTCAGAGCAAACTGATCCGCAAAATTATTTTGTGAAAAATAATAGTTGAAAAAAGAGTTTTTACACATGATTATCACATTAACTCATAAGTGCAAATTATTGTGATTATTTTTAGTTGCATATAATTGTATTACCTTAGACTTTTTTTAAATGTTTTCTAATATTCATTCTTTTGGGCCGCAAAAGCAACCATGCGCTCAATTTCTTGTGGGGAAATTTGGTCCCCATAAAGGACTTTCACCACGAAACAGCTACAAAAACAAAAACTTTTTCTACTGGTATACTGTGATTCAGATTACCATGCGAATTACGAACAAATCGCTGCCGCCTCAAATTTTTATCGGAAATTTATCGAAACCAGTTAACAAATCAATGATAGCACTTTTTCTGAGTACGAAAGGTAAAGTTTATACATGTGTACATCAAAAATGTAATACGGCAACTTATAAATATTTAGCGATAACTTACATTTTGCATCAATTTTGTAGCGAAGAAAGAAAACACAAAACACAGAGACAGAGAACTGTCAAATCGAATTAAGAATGTGCTCGTGGGAATGGGGTAATTCGCGATTGTATTTGGGGAAGCGAACAATTACCTTGTTTATATGGCACCAAGCGCGGAATCGAATTAACTCGTGTTAGTGAAGCTCGCTTGAAATGCAAATGTTTATATGCAACAAAATAAATGAGTCGATCGAACACGCTTTCAAACAGAGTTCATCCCGATGCAGCCCTGGTAGTACATGTGTCAATTCTTGAAAATAATAAACATGGAAAAATAATAATTAA